CCGCGGCGGCTTGCCGGCTGCTCCGTTCTCGCCGGCCTGGTTGGTTTGTCTGTTTTATGCTGCGTTTGTACCTCCGTTTGGATCGTACTTCTTCCTTTTGTTTGAAATGCGGAGATCTTACTTGCTTGCTCTGTTTTGTTGGTGCCCAGCATTCTGACTCGGAGCAGTTTCTTGATGGAGATTTTCATAGCCGCGGTCGGGAGATTTTGTTAGGGAAGCGGTTTGTTGACTGTACTGTTGGTAAGTGTGTCTGCTTCTTTGGCATACGCAACTGATCCTTATTGGTGCGGTCTGTTTGTTCTTCCTGTTATGGATATTGTGGTCAGCTTTTTTCTTGTTTCTTGTAGATTCTACCATCAGTGGTGCTTCCTCTTTCGTCTGTCATGGCCTTCCGTTTGCTATTCGGTCTGCTGGTGTGCGAACTGGTATTTTTTTGCTTTTTTTTTCTTTGATTCCTATATGCTTTGTTGCTCAGCTTCCTCCCTCCTCTGCTATTCATCCTGCCTATTCTAGGATGTGCACGGTTTATTTGGTCTCTGTTGCTTTTCTGCTGGTTCGCTCCTGTTTTCCTCCGTCTGGTCTGTCTGATATGTCTAACTGTTTACGGGCGAAGCTGTTCGGCTATGTAAGTTTTTGTCGGTTTGTGATGTGGTCTGTCCATTACTTCTTTGCAGACTCCTTGGTGGTGCAGATGATTGACAGATCAACTGAGTCCCACCATTAGTGTCGGTTCTTCTTTTGCGGTTGATGGCCTTCCGCCTGCTGCTCGGCTCGCTAGTGTGCGAACGGGTGAGTTCTTGCTTTTTTTTTTTTTTGCTTTTTTTCTGTCTCCTATGCTTTCTAGCTTGGCTACTCTAAGATGTATGCCGTCTATTTGGTTCCTGCTGCTGCTGTGCCGGTTGGTTGACAGGTTTCTGTACTTGTGAGCTGCTTGGGTGGGTATTTGCGCATCTACTCGAATGAAAGCACACCGCGGCATGCAGTGCTTGCCTGCACTCAAATGAAAATACACCGACGCATGCAGTGCACGTATGCACTCGAACGGAAGTACGCCGACCATGCGTGCAATCCACTGAAAATACGCCGGCGCATGCAGTGCACGCGTGCAATCCACTGAAAATACGATAATACACCGCACATGCAGTGCACGCATGCAATCGAATGAAAATACACCGCGGCATGCAGATGCAGTGCACACATGCAATCAAATGAAAATATACCGAGCCATGCAGTGCACACATGCATTCCAGTAATGCACTGATGCTAGCCCTTTACGGGGTTATTATGGAGTTGATCAAGTTGCAGATTATGGTTGGCGATTTAAAAAAAATCGGCCACACATATCCTTAATTGGTTTTCATTTTTTTTCTTGTGAGCTGTTTGGGTGGGTATTTGCATCTGGTCCAGCTGATGTGCTCATTTGTTTTTCGATTTAGCTGTTCAGGCATATGAGCTTCGGTCGGTTTCTAATGTGGTGTGTCCAATACTTGTTTGCAGATTCCTCGGTCGTGCAGATGACTGACAGATCGATTGGTCGTCCTTCCGATCTCCTGCTGGTCTCCATCTTGATCGTTATTTACTTGGTGCTCTGTCTGTGGTCAACCATCCAAGAGTGGTGCCCCTTCGTGCGGCTGGTGCCGTCGGACGGTGACTCACTCACCTGTACATGCTCTATATATTACCAGTTGTACACTCACGGGCAAGATCACCTGAGTACACCACAATGGACGAAGCCTACCGTCCCCAATGAGCATCCTCCATAGGAAAGCAAGTTAAGAAGAAGGGTAATCATCCGGCTCTAAATTTTATGCATGGGAGCGGAAGCAGCTCGGTAAACTCTTGGCTTCACCTAACTCTTTTTGTCTTAGTTTATCCCTTGCAAGCAAGCAATTTACTACTATATTACAAATCCTTCTATGCAGAGGAGAATCTTATAGTATACATTTCAAGACGACCAATGCTTGAAACAGTGACTGAAACAGTTGGTCTAGAAGTACAAGGCTACACATGTTGGTATGCTCATGAAGGTATGATACAAGCGTCCGTACTAATTGCTCTGCCACGTCAGAAAGATAGTTTCAGAGAATCCTCCATTACATATGAAGGAGAAACAACTAATTAAGAAGATGAAGCAATGGAAAAGGCAGCTCAGGTGGCCTTAGAATGCATCTGCGCAGATTATAATATTTCTATCAATGACCATAATTACTACGCCCTTGAAGTAACAAAAGAAAGGTTGTTTATAGCAAGACAGAAAGCTCAGACAAAACAATGGCAATTCAATATGGCCCGCCAGCAAGCAACTACACAGCAAAACGAGTTTGCAAGACAGACAATGATTCCGGCAAAGATATGCAGCAGCTTCTTTGATGTATTACCACTTCGCATGTATCCCAGCGCCCAGATAGCGATGATCCCATTATCACATACATGGGCGCGCATCCTCCCGTCGGACGTGTGCAGGAATTAACAAAATCACTCTACCACTTTCTCACAGGCATCAATCCTGCAAGAGGATATACTAGGATGATCTAATCCACTAGTAACTACTTCTAGCTCATTTATGTAGTGTGTTCGTATTTTTATATACAGTTCTCTGTTTTCAGTGAACTGTATGTAGTTTGAATAACTGGTTTGCTTCTGAAGTGTGCCTACTTTAAATTTGTACCTTTGTATCACTACATTTCCAACATTTCAATAGCTTCGTATGTCCGGTTTCTTCAATGTCTTTATACATTATTTTGAGATTAAATGAACATGCACTGATGCAGTCTTGAATCAATACAGTGCACATTTGCGAGTGATCATCAAGCGCGGGGTGCCGTCGCGCGGGTTAGGCTAATTACTATCTATTACCCTCGGATCCTTCTAGTTGGTAAACGTAGAGATAGTAACAATACTCACACCCATTACTACCAATTGACTTAAAATTACCATTGAATTAGAGGACGCCATGCACGGGTGGGTGGCCTCCTGTAGGTTGTATTTTGTACTAACATTACAATACACAAAACTTTTTACTGTAAAAAATTAGCCTGTGTGTTGGAGTCGTAACCCACTTTGCTCTATTACTATTGAGGGCTGCCAGATTACGTTTGATTGCTAATGAACGTGGTCTGCCTATGCGATGGGTCAGCGCGCATGATAAATTAATGTGCACTCAGGCACAATTTAGCATATATATATATATATATATATATATATATATATATACTCCCAGGAAAAGTAAAATTACACTCATGTTTTATACTCCCAGGAGTATGTACTTCCACCCCAGATGGATAAGGTAAACCAACGTAAAACAAAAAGGCAGAAAAATAATCGGTATAAGGTGGGTCCTTGGACCTAGAAGGGAGGAACGACCATGTTGATCAGCTAGAAAATAGGTATCGGTTTAAGAGCTATTTCGGTTGCCGGAGTATATCGCGTTTCTTAAGGAGTGTATGACGTTTTAAATAAAGTGCTTACGTTTGGAAGGAGAATTAGCACTGGTGCCAATAAAATGGATCCCATGCGTAGCAACTTGGAAGATACAATGGTTCTGTACGTCTCCATTTATGTAGTATGTTCAGTTTTGTAGTCTCGTTTTGAAGGGGTATGTACATCAATTATTACAAAAGTTGTATACTTCATTTGTGTTGGTATAGTACATACTGTTTCTTTCAAGTATGTATAAAAAATATTATTAGAAGGAGGTGGTATGTACTGATTTTTTGTGAGGGATATACATTGTTTTTGCAAGGAGTATATATACTACTTTATTTAAGGGGCATATACTGTTTTATGGAATATATATACTGCAGCTTTTACGGGTATATTTTTTAACATCTTTTACGGGTATATGATACTATAAAAATAGTATGCATCATACACTCCTTATTTAAGGTGGTATATACTTCTATTCGCAAAAAAGGTGGTATATACTTCAATGGATGATTTTTCCCGCAAAAGGGGTGATATTTAAGTATATACCCCTTGTTTAAAAAGCACTATATAAATTCATTGAATTTACAACAATATACCTCACTGGATTTAAAACATTATATACTTCATGGGATTACAAACAGTATATACTTCAGCATGGCCTCTTTTCTTCGAAGAATTATATCCTTATTATTATTCAAAAATATAATATGCTACTCTCTCCGATGGGAGTACCTTTTCATATACACTAGTACTTATCAACCGAAGAATTATATACTGCTTGTCACCAAAAAAATACATACGAATATTGCCAAAGAAGTGTATACTGCTTCTTCATATGGAAGTATTGGTCTATCTGGCCAGCATGCTTAATATGCATTGCTAGATGAGTACATAAATTCGCATCTTAATAGAAACATGTATACCGATCAAGCAAAAAGGACTATGCAACTACTTTTAGATCTTCAAAAAGGTTATGCTACAAAGAAAAGGATTATGTCTGCCAGAAAACTGCAGATAACACAACTATGCTTCTGGAGATCGCATGGAGGCTCTCCTCAATCACACAAATTTACATGCATTGCATCCTTGGATATTCTGGAAAACTGTTAGCAACATAAGTTAGACTTTCTTGAAAAATACTGTATAAGTATACAATATATCCAAGTCACAAATATAAAAAGAACTGCACTAGGTGCACCCATGCATCCACAAAGAAACAGAGTAAAAAGAACTTCTCAATTTGTTTACATCAGGATGGACAATAGATGACCTGATCTATTAGCACTTGTGTACATCTTGAAGAACAAAAGTTTATTTAGGCAGCTGGGGTGAGAGAAAGTGATTCTCCAATCAATTGGCCAGCAGCCACGGCAATTAAACAATGGTGGATGCATATACTCATTTAGTTTACTAGAACTGCACTCACGGGATAATGGATTGGATCATACTTCTCGTTAAACATGAGATGTATATACCAATAATTTAGGATCCTAATTCGATGACCACTCCATTATCATAAGAAAAAAAAGCAGAAAAAATTGCGCACGCGCCAACATACCAGATCTGTGGTAGTTTCAGACCTGTTTACCTGAAAGGATTCAGAAGAGTAGAGCCGGCAGAATCAATCCGGCTCAATGGGATTAAACTGCTTCCATGAGGAATATATGCAAGCAGATGGTAATGAGACCAATCGATCGGGTACTTAGCATTTGATTCGTGGGCCAGCTGCTTACGGTTGGAAACTTGGACGAGACTCCACCATCGATTGGGAAGAATTGGGCGCCACTGTTCTCTCGCATGACGCTCATCCACTAGCGACGCGGCAGGCCATGCCAGCCACCTGGAAGCCGAAAGAAGAGATACATGAGCGAACCATTGATTTGATTTTGAGTATGGTCGTCGCGCGACGGAAACGAAGCCGGCCACTGTCGTCGTCGCCGTTGGCCGGTGAGAAGAAGAGCCACTGTCCAGCGAGATCTTGTCTTCGCGGCCAATATCTTTGCGCCAGCTGCAAGCCGCCGCCGCCGGCATCGCCGCCATTGTTGCCCCCGCCGCTAATGAGACGGTAGGGCAGATCGATAGGCGCTCAAATGGATAAGGCGGGTCAAGCGACAAAAATAAACACCACATTAAAATCGGAGCAATGATCTGTTTTGTTGGGGTTTTTTCACGTAAAAATATGAAAGGCTACGGGGGATAGAATCCCATAGCACGGGCAAACAAAAAAAAACAAGCTAGACGTGTGTAGGAGTACATACTTTTAGGAGTACTAACCCATTTTCCTATATATATATGTGCCCAACGCACATGCAAGACATATACTGCATTTTTTTATAAACAGGTCTATACAGCCTTTTAAGTAGTTTTTTGAAGGAGTATATACTCACAACATTCAAGGAGTATGTACTGCCATTTTTTGAAGGAGTATACACTGCCATTTTTTTGAAGGAGTATATACCAGCAAAATACTCAGAAGAGTATATACTGCCATTTGTTTAAGAAGTATATACTGCATTTTTGAAAGAGTGTGCTGCAGTTTCTTTCTGAAGAAGTGTTCACCAAAACAGTATATATACTACATCAGGAGTACATATATGCATTCATCCATTCACAGAACAATTAGTATATTCATCTGAAATAAAAGGTAAGTTTATAAAAAAAAATCAGTTCATATGCATCAGAAGGAGTACATATACATCATCAATTTTTTCGCAGAGAACATATACGTCATCATCAATAAGAAACATGAGATCACTCGTCGTGCATGCATCAAACTTCACCATGGCCGCTCCACCGCACATGGCCGGCGGCGGCGGCGTAATGTACCCAAAGACGTACACACTGCATTTACAAATTAGATCGGATGGCATTAATTCATCGAAATGCACCTAAAAACAATCGGATGGCATCCCTAATTGTTTACCAGAATTTGTAATTAAATTAAATTCATACAAACCATGAACAGAAGAAAAATCCCCAAATCTAAATTTTGGACTATTTGCATGTGGCATATGGGCATAGAAGGCATCCTCCTGTTCAATTGACCCTATAAAAATTAGACGAGAAATAGTTGCCAACTGTATGAGGAGATACAACCATGTCGTGCCACTTACCAGATCTGTGGTGGTTCTTGGCATAACCTGAACGAAGGAATAAGAAGAAGATCAGTCGGAGTTAATGAAGCTCCACCAGAATTGTTGCCGTGAGGAATTATGTATGTATATGGTAGTGAGACAAATCGAACAGGTACCTGGCATATGATTGGTGGGCTTCAAAAGCAGCTAATTGCAGTTGGAGAACTTGGAGCAGGATTCACATCAACGGGAAAAAGAACAAGGCGTCGCTGGAGTGCACCTCCGATCTTATTTCACCCATGGCCACCGTGCCGAAAAGCAACCTGGTTCACGTCATCACAATTGGCGATGAGAAGATGGACCTTCCGATCGAACTGTTCTTAGCCGCCGCTGTAGCCGTCCATCCATGTGAGCCGCCGCGGCAGCTGGATGCCAATGAAACAGGAGGAGAGATGGATAAGCGGTCAAATGGATAAGGTGGTCCGACGGCAACTGTAAAAAGAAGCCAGAAAAATCGGAGTAATGACCACGGTTTCGGTTGAGATTTTGCATGTATTTTTTTCCTCTAAACAAAGCGAATTAGATAGCACGAGGGATATATATATATATATATATATATATATATATATATATATATATATATATATATATATATATATATATACGGCTGCGCTATTCTGAGCGTGCGCGCATTTTTAGTTAATCTACGCGCCGGCTGCTGCTCCTAATCACGCGCGGCTGTGCGGGTCGCGGAGAAGGAAGATTTTGAGGGTAATGGCATGTGAAAAATAAAGTAACGCACTTTATTTCTATTACCATGTGTTGCTCTGATCTTGCGTCACTATTGATTGCTAGTAATATAGTAAGTACGGATGGTAATGGACCTAGTTTTCTTACCGGATGTAAAACAGTGACTACTCATTGCTAGTAATATAGTAAGTATGAATGGTAATGGACCTAATTCTTTTACCGGCAGCGAGATGTGAAGGATTCATCCATAATCATTGTCAGTAATAGATTAATTGTAGGTAGTAATAGACATAGGGTTTTTTTACCGACAATAAGACAACGATGTTACACATAGAGCAGTTTTGGTCGTAAGTGTTACGATCGATTTTTTTTCCCACGTCGCCCACGCACTTCGACCTGGTTAGCGCATCGGCCTAATTAGCGCATACTGGTTGGCTCACTCGAAGCGGCCGGAGCGTAGGACAGGGTAAACTAAGTAAGGCACATAGTAATGCTCCAATGAAAACTATTGCGAGGATGTTTCTTCTAGTAAATGCTTGAGAACAAAATCAAACTAGTAAAAGAATTTAGTTCTAGTAATAAGAGGCGCCCAATGCTAGATCTGGAAAACCATTATTATGTATAGATGTATATCATGTTGATTGTTCTTAGTAGTCGTTTCAGTTATTGTATTAATGATAAGTAATTTATTTTATAAAACAATTTACTAGAATGTACGCATATAATTGTCATATTTACTACTTCGAGTGAAGTGTTTACTACCATCCATTTTACAATTTATAGATAACATATTACAGACTGCTTGTCACGAAGATCATGCAATCTAATTATTTTAAATCTAATACCAGTACGTGTGGAGGTCAAATTGTAGTGAAAGATTACGTCATATACCAGCACTTTATTATTTTACCATAAAAGCATGGTAATTCACTAATTAATGAAGTGGAGAATCTGAGTAGTAATTCAATTACTGTGGTGTACTACTTCTGCTTAGTAATTTACGATCAAAATAGATCATGGTGCATGCAGGTCATTCTGCTCTCTCTCGCTCGGCTCAGGATTACACTTGCTAACCGCTTAGGTGCGCTTAGAGGGTGCAGCGCGTAGAATAAGGTGATCTGCGCTCAGGCACAGTTTAGCAAAGCTATATATATATATATATATATATATATATATATATATATATATATATATATACATCCTACCATTAGGTGGTAGTTACCTTCATCTTTTTTGCCGTCTGATTGCTTGAGATGTGTGCGGCTCCTAACGGGTTGCGGGTAAAATAAAGAAGGATATATTTTCCACTCGGATCTCCACCATCCTATTTTCTTGGGCTAGCCCCGTATATCGCTTGATATAAAACCATGCAACGCTAATCCCTTTCTCTCTCTCAGAGCGTTCTTTCTCTTTCTCCATGTTTCTCGGTCAAAATCTTCACGTAAAGCTGGATCTGGAAAAATCATTAGAGACAGAAGGTATGCGACATGCATCTACACAAACATCGTGTAAATCGATTGTTAATTGTTCCTAATTTCCATTCTTATACAGGGGTCGCGGGCAACGTTGATGGCTGATGGGATTAGGAGCATGGATGTATGTTCCAACGTATTCATCCAGAGGACCCAATCTATAATATTCCTCCTAGTCGATTTATAATATAATCAGATTTTTTATGATCATGGATTAGGACCATGTTCCAAGGCGTTCATCTAGCCGATACATCAACCATGCATCTAGAAAAACACATCCGTCGTGTAAGATTGCGATGCGCAACGACCACCAATATAAGATTGTTATGGTGCGGCGACGGTGACAACGATTTACGGCTGCACACGCCGACGAGCGACTACTCTATGAGGTAGCAGAGACGACTACATACTACTGCACATCTCGGATGGCTCACCGGCGAGGCAAGCGGCGGCTGCGTCGCAATACTATTTATGGCCGACATGTGACTGCTCCAGCACGGCGGCAGCGGCGACGATGGCGATGTACATATACTCACAGTATATACTCCATCGTGAGAGATGGCGATGTATGAGAAGGAAGAACATGCGTACATGCATTGATGGAAACAACATGTATATATGGTGTTTCAAACCAATCGCTCAGGAGTCCATGAAGCCATGAATGTATTTGTATTTAGCGTATCCATCAACATGACATACTGATATTTATATATACTCCATATTTCCTTTTCTAAAAAAATATACTCCATATTTTGTACTATGAGATATACTACATACTATCCTCTTTTTATGATACTTCATACTGTTATTTTATTTTTGCGGGGTACTACATACTATATTTTTTCTATGAAGTACATACCACGTACTTCATACTCCATACTATTTTTTTTAGGGTTACTCCATACTATATTCTTGGCTCTTCGGCATACTTCATACTTTTTTGCACACTCATTTACTATGAAGTACATGCATCCTGATACTTCATACTCCATACTCCATACTCCAGAACTTCATACTCCATCTAAATAGCAAGTATATATTCTAGGATTAAATTTTTGAGTATACATTATGGACAATCAGAACACTGGGAAAATATTGTGTTTATACTTTTAAGTTTTGGAGCACATATGGAATTATGATCTCTTTGAATTTAAGAAGCACGCATATAATAAGCATTTTTACATCAATGTGTACGTACATTGTATGGGCAGTGCGTGTCCAGCTAGGTTGTTTTAAAATCAATGTCTCCTAGTGGATAGCTACTCGCACTTATCCATTCGGTGAGGTCTGCTGCATGCAGCCCTGAAATTAGCAGGTTGTTGCTAATAGTTGGCTGGTAAAACATTTTAACTAAATGATTAAATTAGGCTTGAACACTAACAGGTTTTTTTGGCACCCACCAACCCAATTGGTGCTACGGCTTGAGGGACACGTGGAGGCCAAACAATTAGGTGGTAACTACCACTGCTTGTAGATAAAATTTGTCATATATATATATATATATATATATATATATATATATATATATATATATATATATATATATATATATATATAGGGTCGCACTATTTGTCACCCTGGGTGAAGAATAGTTATTCTTCACCCCCCTCTATTTACCATGAACGCATCATAATTTTACGTTCCGTAAATTTTGTCTTATTTTCGATGTAAAAAGAGACCGTAAGAAAATATATAATCGTTCTAAAAAATATTTTATGTTATATAAAATTACAAACGTAAAATC